GTACTGCTCAATCTTCAAAGTAAGATCAATCCAGCAATGACCACTTCTCGGAGAAATAAATTTTATGAAGACGACAAAGGCAAATTAATCAAAACCAATGATGAGAATATATCATACAAAGTTCCATCGAGAAATTCTGCAATAAATTCAGTTGCGAATTCATCATTCATTGATTCGATTTCAACAAAAAAGGCATTATAAAAATGTATAATAAATACTCTATGAATAACCAACTCCACTTTCCATTCAAATCAACTCACTCGTATTATGCGAAACAATTGACAAATCAAGTGCTCAGAGATCGTTTAACATTGGCGTTCGATTCCAAAAAAAATATCAGTTCAAAAAGACAATTCAGAATATTGTTTGATTTGATAAACGTGATAAGGAAATTATAAAACTACAAACAATGATTACAGTAATGATAATAACAACAATTATTATTAATAATAAACAGCAGAAATATAATAAAATAATTTTAAAAAAAGGATCATTATGATCATAAAGGAATACACAATATACAGTGAATAAAAGAAAACGTGTAATATTGAATTAAAGCGATTCCAGTTCTATAATACAAGCAAAAATTGTTCACTTCAATGAGACTGATAACAACCATTAATAAGTAATAATAATCATTGCCAATAGATGATCACAAGTTAAACTTTCTTCCCAAGAACAACAAATTCAAGTTACCGGTGTTCGTTGACAGTGAAAGAAAACAGAAGAAAAGTATGGAAATGAGAGAAAAATAAAATCAAAATGACATCTGATGTTGCGTTTCGATCAANTTAATAATACATTTCATCGTTGTAATAACAAAGCAATCAAGTAAACTTTTCGATTTAAACTATCCGTTATGAATGAAAAGTTTAAACTCATGCAAATAAAACTACAATAATATACAAAATAATATTGAGAATGTGGTAGCGGTAAGTACAATGATAATGACGATAAGCGATTACATCATTCGAAAACGATGAAAACATACACGATTAGTATTATAATCACTTCCATAAAGCGGGACAAATGAGGATTAAAAGAATTTAATCACAATCCATTTGTTCGTCTAAATCACAAATGTTTACTGGTTGCCGGAAAGTTGTGAATGAGAATGGAGACGCAGATAGAGCTGGATTATGCGGTCTTTCCGGCTGTACAAATTCAGATGAAGATCGTTGCTCCAACGAAATGTTTTCATTTCCACTTAGAAAGGTAGATGAGGTTTGAGAGTTGTTGACTATTTCTGAGTTCCGTTCTGAAATCATCACATTGACGAGCTTATTCTGCCAATAATCACGTCAGCTCGATGTCAAATTGTTTATTTTTCCAGATTCTGATTGAGCACATCTGGGACACGAGACTGTTTTTTTTCTGCGGGAGGGAGATTAAAAGAAGAGGAAGGTTCATTCTATACTGTTGGAAATATTTCGATTATGTTCATTATTTGATTACTGTGATGGAAAAATAACACTTTGAAAGTAGAAAAAAACTACGGTTCAACGAGAGTTTTTGCATGAAAATGGATTTCCAGTAGAAATTGAGCAAATTATATGCTGATGTAGTGCGCTGCGGGGAGAGAAGAGTTTTTGGGGAACCCCGTTACCCTATCGAGAAACCTGATTCCAGAAAATTTTCAGGGAATCAGCCGGAATTCTGCAGGAAATTGAAGAAATCGAGTGAACGCGTCAACAGCGAGGATTTTGAAGCAATTTCGTCAACAATATTCACATCGTTTTATACGAACTTTTAAGTTGAAATCTTTGGAATGTTGTGGTTGTGTGGCATAACTGTTTGGTGTTGGTGCTGGGAGAAGGTTTGTTCTACAGTGAGTGCAAAAAAAGGACAAAGGGAGCGTAGCCTAAAACTGTTCCGATATTTTGAGGAAAACTCGGAAATCAGGGGCAGAGGTGGGGAAAGAGCTATGCTTTTTTTCCCGAAATTTCTCGTCTCTGATTTTTCTCCAGAGCAACTTCATTTTTGGGATTTCCGATTGCAAATTTTGTCCCAGTCTTTTATCGTCCCCGCAACACCTACCGTTGAATTCATTGATCACACGGATGGATTGCATAAGAATAATTATTGTTTCTTACCATCGAAAGGATTCTGTTGCGTTTCCCTGGAATCGTTAGGAATTGAAGCAGCTGACCAATCAGTGTTATTGTCGTGCTCACCCACTGAATCTAGCATCGTCGACAATAAATGCATTTCTTGAGTGTCCTTAAAATTGTTCATTTAATACCGCTTAAAGAGAGGACAATCGCAGATTCGAGAGGTAATCTATCAATCACAGAAAATTTGCATGAACTTCCTCCTCTTCAACGAAAGGTCGAACATAACTGATTAATTGATTTCGAT